CTCGGTCTTTGCACAGTACGAAGGTATGGAAGCCACGTCCATCTTGGAGATGACTCTGTGGAAAGGGAAAGTTAATCATGAATGGAGCAATGATGGTTCCAACCGTCGGGCGCTAGAACGAGAAGAACGCAGGTTTGTCTGTGGATCGAGCATTGTGATTCCGAGTGTAATGATGTTCTTGACAACAGCCCGGCGATAATAGCTTCATCTCTCAAGTCAGGTGACTTGGCAAGATTTTCATTTATTGATAATGTACCAAATATTATTATAATAGCTGAGATATTATTTGTATTAAAAAACGCTGTTCGTATGATATCCTTAGACCATCGCTTCTTGCTAACATTATTAGAAGGTAGAGAAAGGGTTGTTCAGAATCTCCTTGCTTCATGGCTATGCTTATGCTCCCTTGTCCACCCATTATAACGGTACATGGGGAATTGTTTTTGGCATCTACAACATATATGAGTCATAGAAATCATAAATATAATGTTTTCATTTACTTATCCTTGAGCTATCATGGATTGAGCAAAACTAGTCAAACTAATGGCGTCAAGAGTAAATCCGTACACCAATGGGTTGGACGAGCCACATAGCATATTCAATGAATTTGAAGCATCCAAACTGGTCAATATGGATTGGCATAGAGCTGCGAGTCCAATGGCAATCAGCATCGGGAGCTTCTTTCCTCGCAATGTGGACATTGCGTTTCTGAATCGGCGTGTTCGACGTGCAGATCGTTGATGATTCTTCTTGGTCAATCTCACGAAGGAATCCAAAATCAATGATACTGAAGCATTTCTTGCAGAAGATTGCTTTCGGCGGCATTCCCTGGGTCCAGTGGGGGCGGGACGTCGGTAATCAAAGGGCTTTCTGGTTTTGGTATGTTCGGGTGTTGTGAAAATATCCTCTTTGTTCTCGCTGATGCTTCGAGGAGGGGACGTTGTCCTGGTGTTTTCATTCATTCGATCAGGAGATAGCCCCGACACCATAGATCCACTAGA